AGTTGAGTAGAAGAAGATGACAGTTTATGACTCTTTAGTTCCTGAAGTTGTCCATATTTAATTATTCATTAATTAATACATTTCTTGTATTTTTAATAAACAAACTTTACTTGCTAATCATTTTTTATTGGTGAACAAAGTCAGGGATAAGATGCTGAGAAATTTAAATTAACTATTCAAAGTTTTTATTCGTTGGTACAAAACCAACTTATCCTGAATAATGGTACAAAACCAACTTTATTCTGTCATATTCGTGCAAAACCATATATTATAGCCACTAGGTAGTATTTACTGTCCGGACCCGCCTACTATAATCAAAATTTTGAACATTAGCGCTTACTATTTTCGAATTGAAAATTAACGCTTATTTTCTGCAAATACACCATACATCATTGGAAAGCTAAAAATATGCCCTTTTCTTTAACATCATATTCAACTATAGTTTGTATTTAAAAAAACACAACTTTGTGTTGTATCTCAAAAATCATCAAGTATATTTAAAACTTTTCAACGGCAGTATATTCCACTTAAAAAATTGTCTTAAGAACGTATCAACCCCATTCCTGTAATTAGAAAAATAAACGAAATATGAGCATTTTTTGAAATCACGAAAATTTGACTTTTTGGCTATAACTTAAAAACAAAAGAAGATAGAGATTTGGTCTTTGCGGGATTGGAAAAAGAGACCGAGACATGGCACCTACTTTTTTCGTATCTCTTATAGTTTCTGAGATAGCCTATAATAACACCCAAATTTGCCCACCTGTACATATAATATTATAATTTTTGTAATAAGTGAGGAAAAGTGAGTACATCACAATATTGTGACTCAAGAACATTTTATAATGCTATGTACAATTTTATAGTGGTGTAAATATGTATGCGTCAGGGTATATTTGCGACTTTAGAGTAGGGTCAAATATCAATATAATCCCAAAATGCCTTTAATGCTGAAAGAATTTGAAGCAATTTTTGAAGATCTTGTTCTCAACGAAATAATTGATATTTGTTATGTTTCATACGAAGTTGACAATTTGACCAATGAGGAAGATATTAATGAAGAAACTAATGGTGGAATATTAGATTTGCCATCTGATATTGCCAGAACATTTGAAACACTATTACCAGGAAAAAAATGGTGGTGGCCGTTATTTATAAATGTTAGACTTATAAATGCTTGTATGAAGCCTTATTAGTGTCAACAACAATTAAGATACACCAGAGGACGTGGTTCCACAATTTTTGTAACTTTAACCTCCAGATTGGATAATGTACATCTACACATAATTCAAAAAACAATGAAAAGTGGAGACGACGCTGCAAGGTATATCAGAGCACGATAGTATTTATGTGTATCAAATGTAAATTTCAATTTACTATGGAGTTAGTCCCAATGTTGCGTTAACGCAACGTTCAAAAAATCTACCAAAAAGGAATAAGGTTGTATTTTATATTTTAAAGATTGTTTCTAAAGACCTAAATAAACGTTCATTGACAAAAAAAATTATCACTGGTCCTTAAGGGGTAACATCAGTGTAGAATTTAAAAAAAATCATTTTTTTTTTTTGCTTAAACGATAGGTTTGACTTTCAAAAATAATATCCCCAAAGTTTTTGGCCGAAAAAATTTTTTTACTGTCATAAAGCGCCCGTTGCGCGCTCAGCGAACGCTCGACAGGTTGAAACTTGAAACTAGTTTGAAATTACTGACTCCTCACATTGCCTTCGCGTTGCCTAGTTTAGTAGCCTTTAATTGTATACATGACGTAGTAATAATATTTGTTTGTGCATCTTTTGTTGTGAACGACGCTGTCTATACAGTTAAAAATTTCTCTTCTAAGTGAATATTTCTCGAAATTTCAACCATGAGTGATACAAATGTTGTGTATTCTGGAAAGAAAGGTACCAGAGAGTCTAGCTGGCATTCTCATCGAAGACGTATAGGAAAACATCGACCGAAAAATCGTTATGAAACGGAGAAAGACGTTGAAGGAGTGAGCACGTCTGCCAAAAAATTGATGAGTGCAGGTGAAAGTGGTTTTAATGTTCATCCATCATTTGGTTACTGCTTCGTTAATTTTGTTGCCGTGTTCAATGCTATCTCTAGCGTTGTAGTATGCCATAAGTGCCATTCTATAGTGACTTTTAGTCATACTTCAATGCGCGGCTTGGGCTTAAAAATAAATGTTACATGTGAAAAGTGTGACAATATTAGTTGTGTTCCGAACAGTCCATTTATTAGAAATGCGTATGAACTGAATAGACGGATAGTATTAGCAATGCGTTTATTGGGAATCGGTATGAATGGATTGATCAAGTTCTGTGCCTTCATGGATCTGCCTCGACCGATATTTCAAACCGTTTATGCAGCTGCTGTGGATACAATTTCGGTCGCCGCTCGCTCGGTGTGTCAAATTAGTATGGAAGGAGCAGTGAAAGAAGAGAAAAAAATGACTTCTGCAGAAGGACGAGATGGTAATGAACTGACTGTCTCTGGCGATGGGTCTTGGAGAAAACGAGGATTCACATCGGTTTTCGGCTTAGCTTCTTTAGTTGGCTGGCATACCGGAAAAGTTGTCGACATCATCGTCAAATCTAAGTACTGCAAAAGTTGTGAAACTTGGGAAAAAAAAAAGATAGCGAAGAGTATGCGGAATGGCTTGGAACGCATAAGACAGTTTGCCAGGCAAACCATGAAGGTTCTGCAGGAAAAATGGAAATAGACTCAGTAATTGAGATAACTAAATAACTGAGAAAAAAAGGCCTTGGTGGAAAGGGTAAATTAACTGGTAAACTTATTGACGATTTGAGTAAATATTATGGTTTGGCAATTCGGCGCAATCCTCATTCAATAGAAGATATGAAGAATGGTATTTGGGCAACTCTGTTTCATAAATTGTCAACAGACAAGAAGCCTCAACATGACAAATGCCCGTCAGGAGAAGATTTGTGGTGTGCGTGGCAAGTAGCTTTTGCTGAAGGTGATAATTATAAACATCCACCACCAATGAAACCGGAAGTTTTCGAAGCGATTCAAACTATCTATGAAGATTTAAGTAGAGAGGATTTGCTTGAGCGTTGCATAGGAGGATACACTCAAAATAGCAATGAAAGCTTTAATTCATTAGTCTGGTCCATAGCTCCGAAGACCACATCAACCGGTAAAAAAATATTGGATTTAAGTACAGATATTGCTGTTAGTATTTATAACGATGGACTGAGTGCAGTTTTAAAAATAATGGAGCTTATGGAAATAACAATTGGCTATAACTGTTACAATTTCTGCCTCGAAGCCGATGCGAAGCGAATTAAATATTCCGAGCGCTCGCTCACCTATAAAGCAAGAGAGGCGCAACAATCCTTAACAACGGCCAGAAAACTGCGAGAAGAGGAAAATAGCAGCATTGAGGGTCAACTTTATGGTGTTGGAATAGCTGACTAATGGTAACATCCTATAGAAACTCATTTTTCTAAAATTTATATGCGAACTCTCGCGTTCTAAAACTTTAAAGTGTTTTTTCTCGAAACTACATTTTTCAATCTTGCGCGACAAATAACTTTTACAATTTTTGATAAATTAACTTGAGATTTTAACTGCACCTTTAGAAATAGATTATTTAAGGAAAAGTGTAGTGATTTTTCGAAAGATTGATTATTTCAGCTTTTATAACCAATTTTCGGCGAAATTTTTACGAGAAAAGCACTTCGCAATGTTTAAAGGCATGCCATTTTTACAAAAATTAATTTTTTGACAAACCGCTACGCTTTTCTTTAGATTTTGAGCTAAACTTTGAAAAGAACTTTCGTTTTCTATTCTACGTTATGATTTGCGTCTTCTATATGTCGCGCAGAATAGCGTCACGAAAAAAACAAACCTGGATTTGATCTGTTGTACGACGACCAATAAAAAAAAACATTTCACGAAATTCATGAATATAGCTTTTAAGATGTATACAATAAGCATACGTCATCTGTCTTTTTACCTTAATATTCCCAGCTGAACAAAAAAATCTCAAAGATAACCTTTGAAAACGGGCGTCTACACTGATATTACCCCTTAATGGGTTAAGTGCTTCCTGAAACCATACCAAGCATGATACAACATTTTAAGATTCAGAGTCAATTTCTACACACGCTGTATTTATTACTGTCGAATAAGCCGAATAAGCGTCAACATTACAAAACACGAATAGAATAATTTAGGCTTTATACTTACATTACAAATCTTTGTATGTATAAATATAACTCGAATAAAGTTGTTCCAACGACCATAGGTTGATTGGTGTCTACTTGTTTTATGTTGGTAAATCCAACGTGAGGCATCCTAGCCATTGTTTCGCTGACGTGTTTCACTTCCGGTTCGATGAGGTCGGTGAGTTTATTTTGATAAATCTTGTATAATTCTTTGGCATATTTAAAATTTAATGATCTTAAAAAAAATGGTTATTAAAAACAAAAAAAATTAAAAATAAACTTACTCATGAAACATTTTATCATAATACTCAATGGCTTTCTGTAAATCAGTCCGAACTAATTGAACGATTTTAACCAACCGTTTCATTTTCGCCTCATCACTATCCTCCACCAACTGAGTATTTTCCAAAATGTGCTCAAACCAATCTTTCGCCCCCTTCACGACGCAATTTTCTAATAACTCGTTAATATTTTCCGGAGGATCCAACATAGAAATTAACCCCAAAACGTTTAAAACTTTCGCAACCTGCTTCAACTGATTTTTTTCTTTAAAATTGGTTTTGCGAATCTTTCGAATCATACTCAAACAAGTCGGGATTAATTTTTTTGTCGCGTCCCAAAACAACTTTAAATCTTCCTCTTCAAAACTATTATACTGAATCGGTTTGCAAAGCTTCTCTAAAATATCAACGAATAAATCGAAACTTAACGGATGCGTTCGGTGCACATTTGTGTAAACGATCCATTGTGCTAAAGCAATATCTGGAGTTGATAATCCCGATTGCGCAACGTGTTGGGTTATTAAAGCATTTCCTTGAGGACTAAAAGAGCCACACCACCAAAATGGGGCCACTTTCGACGTTTCTAATTCGTGTAAAAGTAAGATTCTTAAGAGATGTTTATGTTCTTGGGCGGCGACGTGAACGTTTTTTTCTGAACTGAAAGCTATTCGTACTTTGATTACTCCTTGGCGGGTTATTTTGTTCTTTTTATCTAAGCTATACCACATTGTCATTCCGGAAGCGGGGATTGCGCTTAATGGGATTTGAGCGCGGCCGATTAATTCGTTGCGATGTTGCCCCGAAGTAGCAGTTACAGCGATTTCTTTAACGAGTCTACGCATTCCTCTAACTCCTTTTACGTCGAAGAATTTCCCGAATTTTTCACCGACAGTTTCGGCGGGGTCAAAATCCCATACTTCAAGACATAGTGTGTCATCGGATGGATTTTCTGGAACTGGCCTAAAAGAAAACAATTTTAAATAAATTTTTTTTTAAAAAAGATGAACTTACAAAGCGAAATGTTCTTCCCAAACTGGACTTAACGTAGTTGGTTTAACAGAAGAATTATAACGTTGCGAAGAATTCGAAGCCAAGTAAAGCGTTACAAAAGGATCGGCAAGCCCATTCGGATCTTTCGAAACCAAATCTTTGGCTTCAATGACTTCGATATTTAATAACATTTCAGGGGGTTCTTTCTTTTGGGCGATATCGAATAAATCTTGGTGCTTCCTGTTATCGATCTTGAAAGCATCTTGGATGTACGATAACAAAGCTGTTTGACCAACCTCGTAATTCACATCGCATCCAACGTTGTGGATGATAACATATAACATTTCCACGTACAATTCGTCTATCTGTAAATAGAATGATTAATTAAACTTTTGAATGACACTTAAAAATAGATTCTAAATTTAAATTTTGGGGAATTTTTAAATTAAAATGGTTTACAGAAATAGACTTACGGTCATTGAAGAAACATTTAACTGATTTCTCTGCTGCCATTCCTCTTTTTTAAGCCCGCGAAATGTTAAAATAGAGAGCGATTTTCGCCTAATCAATCTCGGATGGTTCCGGTTTAAACTTAAATCGCTGACGCTATGTTTCCCCGCGCGAAACATAACGTTTTGCGAAAAAAAAATCGATTTTCACCGTTTCGTCCTGGTCGAAAATCAAGCTGCCTTGTTGTTGTTGCTAAGAAATTCGGGATCGTGGCTTTTGCCAAAGTTATTCTCGTTTGGGCGTTAGTTTCGGGATAAGACGGTCGCGCTCTCTCGTAAAAAACATTGGCTATAACGGGGGCTGAACATCTCGCAAGTAGGAAACTAATAAAGGTTTACGTAAGATCGTACTCTCGGTCACGATTACTAAGTGGAGAGAGATTTCTGGCTAAATTTAGATGCGATATTTCTACGAGAGGTAGAAAACGTAAAACAAAATTTTTGATGAGGCATGCAGCCCGTTGAGTTATTTTTAGGGGGCGCGAATACGAAACTAAGAACGACATGATTTTGCGACCACTTTCACTTTTAACTTTTACGAGTAGATTTCATTCATAAAGTTATTTCTCAGGAAATATTTATAAATAGAAGATTTTATGTATTTGCCACATCCATAATATTTGCGGTTATACTGTAAATTGATATACAAGAAAAAGTTACTGAGAATTATATCTAACCAAAAAGATAAAGAAAATTTTCGTTTTAATAATAAATAGGAATTTTCGTGGTCTTTCTTGGTATAATCGTGTTGGAAATAAGTAGTAGAAGTTGATACAAAAAGTCTTTGCCATAAATGATAATTTTTCATTGTTGTTTATTATTATTGATGGCCTTAATAACAGAATCGTTTATTACTTTAAAATGGATAACGATGAAAGAACGTACAAGACGTTTTATGACCTCGTGTTCGTACAACGTACATTTGTCATCCGCATTAACGTACATCGGCGATCCAATTTCATTATTTTTTTTATAGAAAGTGAATGATTGAATTCAAATAAAACTAGAAAAGTAAGAGCCTTATTCTTACATTTTATTCTAATTTCAAAAAGTCGGTACAAGTAAAGAAATCATAAATAACTTATGGATTCTTAAGTTTTTTTAGTTAAAAATTGTTGTATTGTTAATTGCCTAAGGCCAGTCTTCTTTTTCTCTATGTACATACATGGTTTTGTAACAAGTAAACGCATCACGGAGCATACCTACAACATAAGAACTTCGTTCCATATTTGGGTCTACATTCTCTATGACATCGGCGAGATTTTCCATTTTATTTAAAATTTCACTTAAAGTTTCTAAATTTAATACATTTTCTTTGAGCAGGTCTTCAACGGCGTCATCGTCATTCGTTTCGACATTATCTGTCTTTTATAATTCCATGAGATCTTCGATAGATAACTCTTCGTCATGTGATTCTATTAACTCTTCGATATCTTCTTCGATTATTTCCAAGCCTAAGCGCATTCCAATTTCTAAGCGCAATTAATTTCATCCCAAGAGGCAGATATATTTTTAATTCCATTATGAATATTGTAATCTTACCAATAAGACTTAACCGTTAATTCCTTATTATCATCAATAGCTTTAATCATGCTTACCCTAGTTGCACGTAAATAATATTTCTTAAACGCGGCTATAACGGGTTGGTCCATCGGTTGGATTAATGATGTCGTATTTGGTGGCAAAAATATTACCTTTATATTGGGACATAACTCATTTAACATTATTGGATGCCCTGGGGCATTATCAAGAAGTAGTAATGCTTTAAACGCTAAGTTGTTTTTAGAGCAGTAATCTTTCACTTCTGGAATAAAGTTGTTTCTATACCAATCTTCAAATACAGATTTCGTGACCCAAGCTTTACGATTTGATTTCTAAATCACTGGCATTGATGACTTTGATACACCTTTAAGCGCTCTCGGATTTTCACTATGGTAAACCAACATTGGCTTCAATTTAAAATCACCTGCCGCGTTTCCACCTAGTAATAAAGTTAGACGATCTTTGGCAGCTTTATATCCCGGCATACGTTTCTCATCTTTAGTGATATATGTGTTGGAAGGCATCTTCTTCCAAAACAATCCCGTTTCGTCAACATTAAAGATTTGATGTGGACTGTAATTTCCATCATGGACAATAGCTTTTAGTGTTGCTATAAATGCACTAGCAGCGTTAGAATCTGCACTCGCTGTTTCTCCTGTCACTTTCACGTTAGTTACGTTGGCCCTGATTTTAAATCTTCTAAACCATCCCCAACTTGCATTAAACGTATCAGTTGCGTTCTCATCCATTTTTTTTCTTAATTCTGAATAAATTTCCTTAGCTTTTTGTTGGATAGCAGAAAGACTTAAAGGAATATTTCTGTGTAATTGAGAGTCTAACCAAACTTTCAAAATCCCCTCCATTTCTTCCATCACATTAGAACATATACGAGTACCTGAAGTTTGTTGAAGATTTACCCCATCTTTAACATAACACTTCAAACATTCTTTTGATTTTACTATTGTGTTAACTGTTGATCTACTGTATCCTAAACGTCTTCCTATTTCCGCTAGTTTTTCACCCTTCTCTGCCATTTCAATAATTTTCAGTTTTTCAGCAAAAGTAATCGTTTTTCTTCTTTTCGAACCTTGTTCTATCTCGCGGTCACCTTTTCTTCTATTCATTTTCAACTTTTTATTTCTAAAATCCCGTTTGATCGAAATGTATTGACGCGGACGATGTCTGAAACGATCTGAAGCGAACTCAGGACGTGTATCGATTGAATTCACAAGGATATTTTTTCGTCCGGTCTCTTTCGGTAAATCCCCTATGCAAAATGTGGTAAAATAAAGTAGTGTAACGAGCAAAGTAGGAAAGTCCCGAGTTGGCCGTAAGTGTACGTTCGTGCGAACAAAGATCATCTTGGAACCAATTAAACATAAATATACGTATTCTTATGGATATTTCGTGTTCGTTTAACGTACATTCGTTATACGTAAGGTAACTTAGGAACGCATTGTGTACGTTAAGTGAGCGCTTACTGTAAATTCTTTATTGTTCCTCACTATTATTACATTATAGCAAAAAGAAAAGACATATACATCTATGTGTAAGACGAAAATGTATAACATCGAGTGAGAAAAGAAAATGGTAGGTGTTCAGCTCATTAGCTGGTCTTCCATACCTCCATAAAAAATAAACAAAATAATAATAAAACAAAACATGACTACTGGATATGACTGGCAGGCATGGCTGGGACAAAACAAAGAGATGAGAAAAGAAAAGAAAAAAAAGAATCATAATAAATCCAGTAACTCGCTCGACCACGGCTGACAGAGAAAAAGAAGAAAAACGGACCTCAATGATTTTGTACTTGAAACAGTGTATTCCTTAAAGCCGATTTGAAAGCTCGAACCGATGTGCACCCCTGTGCATTTAATATGTATCCATTATAAATTTTGAACATTTGGTATGAATAGCTGCATTTAAATTTCTCCGTTCTATGTGGCGGGGAGAGAGCGCCTCTAAATCAAACATTAATAGAGTGCACATCGGATCGAGTACGTATTTTATTAAGTAGATAAGTATACGTCGGTTCCACATATTGAGCCAATTTAAATCAAGCAGTTTATGAGATACGTGCTCTCGTCGCTTTATTGCAAAAATTAAACGAATGCAGGAGTTCTGAACTCGGAGGAACGGAGAGTAGAGGACATTGGCATAATTGAAATGTGATAATATTAAAGAGTCACATAACAACGTTTTTAACTTTTGAGAAATGAATTGTTATATATTAATTTCATGTTTATGTAGGTTTTTTTTATATGATCATAGAAACTTAGACCCTCATCAAGAATTACTCCTAAATTCTTGACTTTTTCCTTCAACTCCAGCCGTGAACAATCAAGCGCAATATTTATCCTATTTTTAACTCGTTTTCTAATCTTTTGAGGGCCAAATATAATAAGTTCAGTTTTACTGCTATTGATATGTAAACCATGTTGGCCAGAGTTTTCGACCAACAAATTTAAATCTTCCTGAATTTTAGCCACAACGTCCTCCACCTCTTCCTCCCTAGCTGACATATATATTTGTGTATCATCCGCATAACAGTGATAATCGCAATACTGTAAACAATTTGTTAAACTGCTGACAAAAACTGAAAAAAGCAAAGGTGAAAGAATTGACCCATGAGGGCAGCCAGAACCGGTATTCAAGAAATCCGACAAGCGACCATCAACACACACTGCCTGCTGGCGATTTGATACAAAATCCATTAAATTAAATATTGCTTTTAGGATTTGATGATCAATCATATCAAAAGCCTTGCTATAATCAATTAGACACATAATTGTGATTTTACCGTTATCCATCGCCCGAAGAACATCATCCACTATATTTAAGAGAGCAGTAACACAACTGTAACCTCTGCGGAAATCTGACTGATAATGTGGTACAATCCTTTCAGAATCTACGAAGTCGGTGAGCTGCTGCCATAATAATTTTTCAGTTGTTTTAGAGAACACCGGAATTAAGCAAGTAGACCGTAAATCTGCTATAGTGGCATTGGCTTTTTTTGGGCTCGTAATATATGAATGCAGTAACCATAGGTAAGAAATTACTATGCACTTGCACTGTCCCACATAAAATGCAACATAGCTTAGTAGTACAGGCATTGGGTAGATTTGCTTGGTTGATTTTTGATCTTTTATGTTTCATTTGTCATACAAATCACTTCTCTACTCCTAAAAATACGGATTAGACGATTTTTTTAAATTTGTCTTTTTTGTTAAGTTACAAAATCAACTTAACCTAACAATTCAGTTCAAACTGTTTTTTCTCGACATTTTTTATATTAAATCTATATGTTTATATAGGTTATCATAAAATATGAAGCTTTCTCTTTCCTTTAACATATAAATCATTTCATTACTCCTAAAAATACGGATTAGACGATTCTTTTAAATTTGTCTTTTTTGATAAGTTACAAAATCAACTTTTACTAACAATTACTTCAAATTGTTTTTCTTCCAAATTTTATACATAAAATGCTTATGTTTGTATATGATATCATAAACTATGAACTTTTATGTTTCATTTGACATACAAATCACTTCTCTACTTCTAAAAATGCGGATTAGCCGATTTTTTTAAATTTGTCTTTTTTGTTAAGTTACAAATTCAACTTAACCTAACAATTCAGTTCAAACTGTTTTTTCTCGAAATTTTTTATATTAAATCTATATGTTTATATAGGTTATCATAAAATATGAAGCTTTCTCTTTCATTTAACATAGAAATCATTTCATTACTCCTAAAAATACGGATTAGACGATTCTTTTAAATTTGTCTTTTTTGATAAGTTACAAAATCAACTTTTACTAACAATTACTTCAAATTGTTTTTCTTCCAGATTTTATACATAAAATGCTTATGTTTGTATATGATATCATAAACTATAAACTTTTATGTTTCATTTGACATACAAATCACTTCTCTACTTCTAAAAATGCGGATTAGCCGATTTTTTTAAATTTGTCTTTTTTGTTAAGTTACAAATTCAACTTAACCTAACAATTCAGTTCAAACTGTTTTTTCTCGAAATTTTTTATATTAAATCTATATGTTTATATAGGTTATCATAAAATATGAAGCTTTCTCTTTCATTTAACATATAAATCATTTCATTACTCCTAAAAATACGGATTAGACGATTCTTTTAAATTTGTCTTTTTTGATAAGTTACAAAATCAACTTTTACTAACAATTACTTCAAATTGTTTTTCTTCCAAATTTTATACATAAAATGCTTATGTTTGTATATTATATCATAAACTATGATCTTTTATGTTTAATTTGACATACAAATCAATTCTCTACTTCTAAAAATACGGATTAGACGATTATTTTAAATTTGCGTTTTGTGTTAAGTCACAAAATCAACTTAACCTAACAATTCAGTTCAAACTGTTTTTTCTCGAAATTTTTTATATTAAATCTATATGTTTATATAGGTTATCATAAAATATGAAGCTTTCTCTTTCATTTAACATAGAAATCATTTCATTACTCCTAAAAATACGGATTAGACGATTCTTTTAAATTTGTCTTTTTTGATAAATTACAAAATCAACTTTTACTAACAATTACTTCAAGTTGTTTTTCTTCCAGATTTTATACATAAAGTGCTTATGTTTGTATATGATATCATAAACTATGATCTTTTATGTTTCATTTGTCATACAAATCACTTCTCTACTCCTAAAAATACGGATTAGACGATTTTTTTAAATTTGTCTTTTTTGATAAGTTACAAAATCAACTTTTACTAACAATTACTTCAAATTGTTTTTCTTCCGAATTTTATACATAAAATGCTTATATTTGTATATGACACCATAAAATATGATCTTTTATGTTTCATTTGTCATACAAATCACTACTCTACTCCTAAAAATACGGATTAGACGATTTTTTTAAATTTGAAAGAATATTTCGTATTTACAATATCGATTAAAGAGAAGGGATTTCATGACTTACATTTAAAGCTGTCGAAATATACAAAGTTTGATCTTCCGGTTCACTATCAGAACTAGATGGAATTTCTTCCGTTTCAGCAATTTCCGGAACATTCTCAATAACAGCTTCTAAATCTGCAGCTTCCTTTGCAACCGTTTCCTTTTCTTGTTTTTCTTTAGCGGCGGCGTAAATCGATTTTTCTCGAAACAAATGTCCGAACGTCTCAAAAAATCCTCCATCGATTTCTTGTATTCTAAACAAAATTAATAATCAAAATCAATAATTAAAAATGAAGCTAAATTAGAAAAAGGAAAAGAAGTTATAAAATTAAAACACTTTTTTTATAGTTAACTTTTTATTTGTATATATATTTGGATTTTAAACTAAATAATAGATAAAACGTTTTTTTAACTCTCTAAAATTCTGTATTTCACCACATTTTTATCCACAAATTTTTGTGGTTAAATTTTTTTTAAATATTAGTTATATTTCAATTGGAAAACAAATTCTTATCACAATAATTAATTAAAATCCTAAAGTGAACCAACATTTTTAACCTAAATTACCAACACACATATATTTAATGTAAGTGTATTCATCAATACCATAATGAGACCCTTCCCGTCCGATACCCGACTCTTTAATGCCCCCAAATGGGGCTTCCACCGTCGATATCAACCCCTCATTAATCCCAACCATTCCTACTTCTAATAATTTAGAAACTCGAAAAATTTGGGAAATATCTTGAGAATAAAAATAACCAGCTAATCCTCTTTCTGTGTTATTAGCAACTTTTAAAGCTTCCTCTTCAGATTGAAACTTGATTATTGTGGCTACTGGGCCAAAAACTTCTTCATTGTAAACTTGCATTGATGTCGAAACGTTTGTTATCACGGTGGGGGTGTAAAACAATTTTCCTAAGTTTTCTATTGGTTGTCCACCAGTTTTTATAGTTGCACCTAAAATTTATTATTTTCATTTACCACAGTTTTAAATATAATTTTGGGAATAATTCAAGAAACATCATGTCGCTTATAAATCGACTATTTTTTTTTTAATCGACCGGAAATCACTCAAGTAAGCCGTTACAAATAAAAAAAAGTGCGGAAAAGTGTAAAAGTTACAAAAATCACTTTAAAGTTTCGACGTGACGTCACTTTTTGTGACGTCATCGGCCGTGTTAACCATATATTTAGTTAAAACGCATATCTTCGGGTGAAAAACGGTTGTTTCTTAGGTTTTCGACGAAAAACGACTAAAATGTCGTTGTTTACCATCTATGAACTAAAGATAACCTAAAATCTTTAACTTATTGGTTTCTGAATGCTAGATACTGTTGGCAAAAGACTAATTATTGCTATCAGAAGAATAAATACTGCTAGTAAAAGACTAAAAACTGTTTGGAAAGAGAAATTACTATTTCAAAAAGTTATCCACTGCTTCTAGAATGCTAGATATTGCAGAAAAAGACCACAACTTACTTGGAAATGACTAGATAGTGTTTTCAGAATAATACCTATTGCTTCCAGAACGCTAAACACTGCTGTTAAAGGTTTTGACCTACTTGGACAGGCGGAATACTGCTTCCAAGACTACTTATTGCTTTCAAAGACTTTAATAATTGTTTGGAAAAGAAATATGCTTTCCAAAAAGCTACCTACTGCTTCCAAAATGCTAGATAGTGGTGGAAAAGACTAATAACTACTTGGAAAGAAGAGATAGGCTCTAAAAAAAGGTACCTACTGCTTCCAAAATGCTACATACAGGTGGAAAAGATTGTAATGTGCTTGGAGAAGACTAGATAGTGCTAACAAACAACTACAAACTGATTGGAAAGACGAGATACTGCTTCCATAAGACTACTTACTGCTTTCAGAGCGCTATATACTACTAGAAAAGATTACCACCTGCTGGGAGAAACTATTACTAGTGCTTGGAAAGACAAGGTACTGTTTCCAAAAGACCATTAACTACTGTCAGAATGCTAAATATTGTTGGAAATATTACTAATTGCTTGGAGAAAGCTAGATATTGTTGGCAAAGACTATTTAATGCTTTCAGAAGACTATATACTGCTGCCAAAACACTACTGCGAATTTCTCAAATGTCGGGTTGGGCATGAAGTAGGTCTAGTGTTAGTTCTAGCTCTACACTAACACTATTATCCGTGCAAAAAGCTAGGCCTCTCATTTTGGAGATCTATATCTTCGCAACCGCTCGATAAAAAACAACTACGTAACAAATGTTAATTTGAAAATTTTCGGACCCACGATTTTCTTTGCATCGCTAGTTGAATGAAAAAAACTACCCGATTTTTTACGGCACCGGCAACTTTATCAACTTTGCGATTTTTTCTCTCGAAAACTATCGTACAAAAAATGATGAATGAATTTTGAACAGGTGGTAGCCTGATGTGTTCTTAATGAGTGGCATATTTTATTTTTTCGATATTCCATACAGTTTCGCGGATTTGACCAAAATATGTCAAACAATGTCGGTTGTCGGATTCCGATATCAGTTTTTCAAAATTAGAGCTCCCTAATTTTAAAGACCGATTTAATGAAATTACAAATTAAAGAGAAACAGAAATAAGCACTGCGGGGTGACGGGAATTCCGTCTAATCGGAACAGATGGTGCGTCCCAGACAGGACGTCGCGCCTTATTTCTTTATGTAGGTAAGATAAAGGTGCGACGTACTGTCTGGGACGCATCATCTGTTCATCAATTTTTGAAAATTAGGGCTCCCTAATTGTTTAAGAGCGATTTAATGGAATTACAAATTAAAGAGAAACAGAAATAAGCTATACGGGGAGAGGAGGGTTCCGTAAAATCGGAACAGATGGTGCGTCCTAGACAGGACGTCGCGTCTTATTTCTTTATGTAGGTAAGATAAAGGCGCGACGTACTGTTTGGGACGCACCGTCTGTTCCGATTGGACGGAACCCTCCTCTCCCCGTATAGCTTATTTCTGTTTCTCTTTAATTTGTGATTCCATTAAATCGCTCTTAAACAATTAGGGAGCCCTAATTTTGAAAAATTGATAACGGAATCCGACAACCTATCTATGGCTTCCTTCATCCCACTATTTGGCGTTGATGTAAAAACAGTAAAAAAGAATTTGATGTCTGTGATGAACGTTGCAACCGCCCAGTGCAGTGGCTGATCTTATAAAATCTTATTATAGTTCATAATTCTTCGCGCACTCTGTTCCATTCTTCTGTTCTGTTTTTATGTTATTCTTTTATCTTGTTTCATTTTGTGTATTTTCACTTATTTACTTTTTTATTATAAGTACGAAGGCTTTCACGGCCGGTGTGAATTAAACTAAAATTACTAAAACGTCAAACCTTTTATTAAAAGACGCACGGCAAAACCCGAAAGTTTCTAGTGTTAGTTCTAGTTTTAGTTCTAATTTTAGTTTAATGCTTTTTTATTGTTTGCTTACAAATCCAGTACGGCTTAGTTTAATATTTAATTTAGTTTAATATTTAATTCAATTTTGTTTAATTATTATGTATTAATTTAGTATAGGTTATTCCGAATTCTGTAATTAGGGGAAACCTTGTTCATTTTCGATGAATAAATAAATAGCTAAATAAACCGACATTATTTGACATATTGTGGTAAAAACCGCGTTGAAATCCGCCAGGTCGTTTTCGAAATAACCGCATCCTACTAAACCGCGATTTTTCGCGAAACTATATGGAATATCGAAAAACTAAAATATGATCCGCATTTAGAATACGTCGGTTTACCACCAGTTCAAATTTCAAATTTTTTCGTCAAATAGTTTTGGAGAAAAAAAATCGCAAAGTAGACAACGTTGCTGGCACTCTCAACAATCGGGTACTTTTTTCACTTAACTCGCGATAAAAGAAAAACCGCGGACCCGAAAATTTCCAAATTAATATGTGATACGTAAAAATATTCACTGATTACAATAAACTTTACCGCAATTGTTTCCATCGAGCGGTTATGAAGATATCGATCTCTAAAGTGAGGGGCCTTGACTTTTTGCACGGATAGTAAAATTAACATAAGACCTAGAACTAGAATCATTCGGGTTTAGCCGTCTTGAGAGACGTGCGGCTAAACCCGAATGTTTCTAGTTCTAAGCATATTTTTATTGCACTAAAACTAGAACTAACACTAGACCGAGAACTAGAAACATTCGGATTTAGCCGTACGTCTTTCAAGACGGCTAAACCCGAATGATTCTAGTTCTAGGTCTTGTGTTAGTTCTAGTGACAGTGCTAGTGTAAAACTAGAGCTAACAATAGATCTAGAACTAGAAATGTAGACAAGACGGGTTTAGCCGTCTTGAAAGACGTGCGGCTAACTCAGAATGTTTCCAGTTCTCGGTCTAGTGTTAGTTCTAGTACCGCACTATCACTGGAACTAACACAAGACCTAAAACTAGAATCATTCGGGTTTAGCCGTCTTGAAAGACGTGCGGCTAAATCCGAATGTTTCTAGTTCTAGGTCTAATGTTAGTTCTAGTGACAGTGGTAGGTAACGCTAGTTAGCATAAGATATCACTATGTTGCATATTTTATTGAACTAAAACTAGAACCAACAGTAGACCTAGAGCTAGAAAGTATCGGGTTTAGCCGTGCGTCTTAAGACGCAAGGCTAAACCCGAATATTTCTAGTTCTAGGTGTAGTCTTAGTTCTAATTGTACACTATCACTAGAACTAACACAAGACCTAGAACTAGAATCATTCGGGTTTAGCCGTCTTGAAAGACGCACGGTTAAACCCAATAGTTTCTAGTTCTAGGGTTAGTTCTAGTTTTACACTAACACTAGAACTAACACAAGACCTAAAACTAGAATCATTCGGGTTTAGCCATCTTGAGAGACGTGGGGCTAAACCCGAATGATTCTAGTTGAAGGTCTTGTGTTAGTTCTAGTTTTGCATTAGAACTAACATAAGACCTAGAACTAGAATCATTTGGGTTTAGCCGTCTTGAGAGACGTTGGGATAAATCCGAATGTTTCTAGTTTTCGGTCTAGTGTAGTTCTAGTATTAACACAGAGTCTATTGACACACAGTCTATTGTAGTCATTATGCATGAAAGGGCGTTTCATCCGAAAATATACGTTGTAATCTCACCTAGTTTAGTGAAAATAACTTTACTTTTAAGTTTATCAGATTGATTTGTGCGTTTCTATAAAACAAACAATTTGTAGGTTAGATGTTGACCGGTTTAGTAGGAAACTGCATGGTTAATATTGCTTGTGACGTCACAA